AATAGGATTTTAATTGAGGTTTTGTAATAAAGATTTTAATTTTATTATTATTATCATTATTATTATTATTATTATTATTACAGTCGTGGATTCTGGATTCCGCGCAATGTATTCACCCGGCCAGGTAATGACGGTCAGTGGGTCTTTCATGGAATCCGCCATGCAATAAGGGAGGGGTCCTAATTTTCAGGCCAAGTAAAAGCCCGCAGGGGCGAGAAGTACCATTTTCGAGGCCGGGTCCCGGTCTTAAGGTCTGGATGAGTGTCCCCCTCTCCTCATTTACTTGTTTCATTCCGCCATTGAGCAAAGCTTTATTCTAATTTCAGTTCCCTCTAATAAAAATCAATATCCAAAGCTCAAAACCAATTAAAGTATCTCCCGTTAGTTGTGACAGTCCAGCAAGGGCAAGCGGGCCGTACCAAAACTCGGAAGGACTCGAAACTAACGTGTGCGGCTCATATACTCACAAAGGACGTCCTTTAGCATAGCACATGATATTTAAAGCAATAAATAAGATTGAACTAAACAACAAAAGAGTCGGCAGAAAACGTTGTTAATTGAAATAGAGACTAATTTGATGACATGATATATTCGATCAGAAAGTTTGTTATGATCAACTTAGTCCTCGCTGACGTGTAAAACTTAGATAATCACGAAATTATTTTTGAGGCTGATAATCGTATTAGATTCACCGGGAGACAGCTTCAGTAGATCTAAAAGTAAGCTTCTATTTGATAGTAAGCCTGGTATTCGAATTGGTTTGTTGAATTTTTGTTTTAAAAGTATATTTTGGTAAAACTTCAGTGTTCTTAAGTATATCTTTGAGGAACTTATAGTGCGTGCGCTAACTCTGATTTAATTATATTAGAACTAGAACTTTAATCCAATAATCGCGTCTCTGTTTATAACATTTTGTATTTATAGAAAGTAAAAAATAGACCATGGGTCAGTGCCATTTTAGCTCGAACGTAATGACGCCATTTAAATTTAGGCTTGGATCATACGTTTCAGTTTACGTTTGAAAACGTTGTCTGTTTCGTTCATCATTAAAAGAAAAAAGGGAAGGAAATGAAGGTTAAAAGATAATAAAGTCGTGATGCTAGTTTTCTAGTTCGTGTGTGTCTGGAACATCGCAACGGCGAAATGTATATCACTAACCAGCGGTGGCTAAGGTGGGGGGGGGGGGG